TGAACTATTGTCATAGGACTTTTATATGTGGGGTGCTGGACTAGTAACTTCTCATTTCACTTTACATGTAGCATCAAACCTCAGGCAACATTGGTTTTTATCTATAAACCAAGCAATGCTAACATCCAGCTTTGCTACTGTTAGAGCCAAGAAGCTCAGTTTAATACTGAATATACTGAACTGAATTTTTCAATATATTATAGAGGATACTACTATAATATCTGACACAGTTGAATGCATATCACACAGTGCTATATATACTCATGAGGATAGATTTTGTAGAAGATGGATGCAGCAAACATAAGTGTGGAGGTCAAGCCACCAGCAAACAAGTCAGCTGAACAGTGATTAAACCATATAATCTGTTTGAGGCTCACAGCCCTTAACACTATGGGCTGAGGATGCCCTGCAGGGAGGAATGTAGCATTGGATTATCTCAAAACATCAAATAATGAGCCTTTGCATTCCACAGACGGCTGTTTCACTCATTTGAATTCTGAGAGACTTAACTGAGGTTTAGCAACTTGGTCAAGGAGCTCTGAACACTACACTGCTCCACTGGGGATCTGAGGAGGGGCCACTTTACTGTCAGACCAGCTAAGGTTATAGGGAAAAATGGCAGAGAAAGGAAGTGTGTTGCATGAAAAGTGATCACACAGAAATCGAGGACACCAAGGTCCTCTGCACCATATGAGGGACTGTGTGTTTAAACTACCTGAGGAGGAGTTTAAGTTTTTCAGGAAACACACATGTATTACACATTTTGGAGTGTGAGGTTTTAAAAACCAGATTCGGACATTTATTACCATCAAAATTCTTACATTTGATCATGTTAGGTCAAAAACATAAATTACAATAAAGGAAAGTTGTATTTTTTCCTCTAATATTTTATGTCTGGCAATGTAAAACCAGATTTATTGTAGAAGAACATTTAGATTATCATGTAGGGAGATAAATCTGAGAGTTTATTAGAAAAAATGAACATTTGGTAATACTTTATACCAGAGAGCTGAACTGGGGGACTCTAGACATGTGACCTCAGTAACATGCTTGCTATAGCCCCATTTGATCATCTATTATTCTGAACTGATACTGCAAAAACTCTTGGAATAAGTATGATCATTATACAGGTAATCCTTTTGATTTCTGCTGCGATATGATAGAATGCAGGCCAGGATACTGAAATGAAAGTTAGCTACAGCAGATAGCATCTGCAGTGCATGTTTCCACTGAAATGACCACATACTATTTCCATAATGGGAGGACAACACAAAACAATAAATTTTGATACAGAGCTCTTGAGCCCTTCCATCCTTGGGCACAGCTGTGGTTCATAAACACATTGTAGCATCAGGTTTGACCGTGTTCCACTCATGTTCAGTGGAAGTACAAGGATCTTGGCAACTGTTAAGTGCTTGACAGAAAAAAATATATTACTGGTTTCAGTCATTTCTATTAATTCTTCTGCCAACGACCCATGGCGTCAGGCCATGCCCTTATATCTTCAGAGCCCCACAGTAAGTAACACAGTTTTCCAGACCTAACCTTCCCTTAACACAAAGCATCCCTGAACCATATCCTCACCCAAGTAAGGAGCAGATATGTGGCTTGACACACAGCATCTGCATTGCATTTGCTCAGGTTAAGCAGTGGCTGGCCCAGCTGGTTGTAACGGCAGCCACCTCTGAGACCCGGGTTTGTTCAGTTGTCCAGCCACTGACACTGTTCTACCAAGACTGTCTAACAAAAGACTATTAACAATTCCACGGAGTCTGTAGCTATATTATCACCAACACCAATGCAAGTTCTGTGTGGGTTCATTCGAACACCTTTCTTTTGCTCCACAGCCACTCAATAGACCTTGCTGTGCTATTAACTAGATTCCTAATTAAATGTCTTAGGCTCTGCCCTTTTATAACTAACTCACTGAGCAGAGAGACAGAACACAGAAATTTCCCCACTGTGGGCTCAATAAACTCTACTCTACTCTATTCTACTCTACTCTACTCTACTCTACAGCACCCTCCTAGGGAACTGTAAGCTTGACAAAATACACAGTTCACTGTGTTTCTGACCACAACACAAGGTCTGGTCTGAGGTTAGTGCTGATTGTCTCCTCAGGAACTATGAGCCGATTCCCTAAATCGACTTTCATTTGCCAGTCGCTCCCTGCCTTTAGTTGGCTGACATCCTGCCTGTTCAAAATGACTTGCTTCCTGCCTTTATCACTGTCATGAATGAACAACATCCCCTTGTTTCTTCTTCTCTTTCTCCATGTGCTTAAGCCCCCGGTGGGATAGCCGGCTGGGTAGGAATTGGCCTATATCAGACGTTGGATATCTATTTGGCTTCTGTCTGTTTATGAGTGTTCTTAACTGATGTTGTATTACTATGTTTTTATTGTTGTAGCACTTTGTGCTCTCGAACTGGAAAGTGCGGTACAAATAAAGATTATTATTATTATTAAAGCAAAACCACCATGTCCATGCTGTACCTGCCCTACAACACTCCTGTGTTTAAGAGCTGCAACAGGTTTCACTTCCTCCCTGCTGAGACTGTTGA